GCAATACTCGACAACCAACAACATGATGTTTACGTCGCCATTTTGAATGCAGTAGATCTCGGCCAATCAGCTTCATTCAGTTCACAGTAAGTACTAATTATCAGCCAATGAAATAATTCGTTATATATACTCAGCAGCAAAAAAAACGTCGTTACGAATTCAAAATTAGATAGGCACTGTAATCAAATCATTACAGAAATGGACATAATAAGCGGATCAAAAACATTTTTTTGTGTACAATATCTTGACACATCAATGAATAATTTCAAGACATTACGTGATCGTTTGCAGTCCATTCAGACTCTTGACTTCAGTATCTAGTGTGACCACCACGAGCGGCAATAACTGCAGCACAGTGTCAATGCATGGAGTGCACCAATCGATTGATGAAGGCCATTGGCACTTGGAACCACACTCTGAGAAAAGCCTGGCGCAATAAATTGGCTGTGTTCGGCCTTGATATGACATTATTCAGTTTAAATCAGAACTAAGGGCTGGCCACTGCATAATGTTGACACCGTTCTGCTGTAGGAAGTCCCGTGTACCTCTGGCAGTATGGGCCTGGGCGCTATCATGCTGGAAAATGTTGTTCCGGTGCGAAATGTGGTATGACGTGGGGTCTGAGAGCTTGGTTGATGTAGCGCACCGCTGTGATGCCGCCTCCTCTCCCTGGACCAAGGTTCTGGAACTCCACAGGACTCACCCTCTGGTTCAGGCCTATTCCACCCCATACCATTATGCTTGCACCTCCCCATGAGTCTCTTTCCATAACACATTGGTCTGAGTAACACTGGCCACGTCGTCACCATATTCTTGTTCTGCCATCTGCCGTTGATACACAATACCGACTCTTATCTGTGAACAGAACAGTTCTCCATTGCCTGTAAGGCCACTTTTGGTGTTGTAGGGCAAACTGTAGACATTCACGCCAATGACGAGGGTAAGGTGAAGGTCCACGGTAAGGTCTATGGCAATGGAGGTTCCCGCTGTTAAGACGTTGGTGTACTGTATCAGTACTGATTGGTCTTCCGTGTATTCCCACTGTCTGGCGTGCTGTTTCGGATGTCTACATGAAGGGATTCTTTACATGCTGTCGCACAACATGGCGGTCTTGTCGTCTTGTGGTCACCCTTAGTCTGCCAGTACGGGGGTGATCATTTGTGGTGTTGGTGGCCCGGAAACATTGCTGCAGCCTGTAGATGGTCCAAACGTTGACCTGGAAGTGATTGGCAACGGCTTGTGCAGTGTGGCCAGCTTCAAGTTTTCCTAGTGCCTGGTTCCTCTGAGCTGTAGTGAGTCGCGGCATCCTGCTGACGTTGTAATGTGAATGTTTCAACCAGGTTTGGGGGTGCATTTTATAGGGCTGGTCACGTGCAGCATGAGTTGCATGAAAAACATGGAGAACACTGTACCATCGCCGAGATCAGACATTTCCTGGGTTCCATTCTGAGTTTGGGAAGGAATGTCTTTGCTCAGGTAAAGTTGGAGATGTTGTCAAAAATATACAATCAAAACATTAAATGAGTTTACAGTTATCCGTTTCTGCGACAGAAAATTACAAACTGATGTTTCTTTTGCTGCTTAGTACATTTAACCTAGACATAGTCGTCAAGACATGGCACACTCTCCTTCCCAGAGTTCCATGCGACCAGCATAGTACCTCTGCCACAGGCCAGAAGATGTCCATTCAATATAATGTACATATTTCTGAACTCTTATTTTTGACAAGTCTAAACATCTAATTAAACATATTGATAGAATGGTTTAGTTTCACTGAGAAAATATCCTAAAACATGTAACACCATTTTGATGTGCGTAGCGATCCTTTGTTTACATGGGTTGTACGGGCTCCACGTGCTGTTATTGAAGCCTTATGGAGAGCAAACAATGCAGTCCATTTGAAAAATAATATGTATTGTCATAAACCTTACTGTCGCAGTTTTAGAAGAATATTTAGGCCAGCAGACCAATTTTATTTCTTGTTTTACGGATTTTTGTCCTCAGAAAACCTAAAGGTAGGAGGGAGAAAAAAATAAATAAAAAAATCAGTCAAAGTAATATTCCTTCTAAATACTCAAAGTATTTTACTTTTGGCAATTTATGAAGTGTATATGGGGCAAAAAACAATCTAAAAACAATTTTCTTGTAAGTTTACAGTTTTGGCCCATAAATACATAAGGATTTTATTTTTTGAGCAGGGAAAATTAATTTTTATTTTTGTTCTTATTCTTGAAAATATACGACAGGCAGATCCGTAAATCAAGAAATAAAATTGGTTTGGCCTTATGTAACAATGTAAAACATTATGAAGTGTGCGACGAGAAGGTTACGTAAGGCCAGTCTCTGCTTATTTACGAATATGCTCGTTTGTTTACACACAAGTGAAAATCCCGGTCACATTAACCTGTGGCAGCAATGTTATGCTAAGTCATCACTGCGCCGTAGTGTGGTCATGGCAGAAAGAGGGCAGACAGACGATAAATGCTATTAGTGTGTTTTGGGAAAAGATGTGATGAAGAATATAACTGATGACAGAAATATACCTTCAAATGAGCCGATAAAGTGCAGAGAGATAATAGGCAGTTGTTAATAATATTAAATGTGCATTTATAACGCACATTTTCCTTGTACCAGGCACATGCTCAAGGCGCTCACAATTTTTACACCTCAGATTACCCAAGCTGCCAATGAGGTTCAAGATGGTTAATAGACACATGACTTATCCCACTGGGTACCCATTTTCTGCTGGGTGAACAGAGGCAAATTGAATTCAGTGGCTTGATATCGGTCCTGTTCCCAACCTAACGGCATATCGCTTCTACCACCTGAGGAGTGTTCCGCTGACTGCATAATCTAGCCCGAGTCACACGTGCCGTCTCAGTTGTCTGGTTCATTCAGCTGGCATGATCCGGTCTCTGTGACCTGGTCCTACTGGGGCACTGGGTCGTTTATGTGCTTACCGAGCTGCCCCCGCCTCATGAGCGCAGTTGTCAGCTGTAGTGTACAGATTGATTGGGAATCGTGGCCTCAGAAATAAAACATGGTGTTCCTAATTCAGTACCGAGTTGTTTGGGAGCCGTAGCTGTACTTAGATTCCGATATAACGGGGGGGATTTGACGAAATAATAGTTGAAGCTTGAAACTTTTAATAGGCTCAGAGGATGAAGATCCACAGCTTCCTTGTACAATGCAAGTACAAGTAGAACAGCTATTGTCGAGTTGGGACGACCCTGACAACTCCTAGACTCTGTATATCTATCCCACTGATGGTAGATATCTACCGATCTAGCCTAAGACAATTTGAGAGTTAAGAGAATTTAATGCCATTTTCACAACTGATGAATGGGGATTTAAGAGATATCTTGGGAGTCCGCACAAGGTAAACATCCGAAGATCCCAGCTCAACTGGAATTCCAATGTCCATTAATCCGAAGGAGAAGTTAAATTATACGGGTAAAGTCCCTACAGAAGTTCTAAGTTCTCCCTGGCCTGACCACGGTCCCCTGGCTGAAATCCTTTAGATTCTGTTGACTCTGAGACGTCTGCCTGTGCGACCTGAGCCATGGGCTGGTTACAGTAGTCATCTGCTGGTGACCTGCCACTAAGTTTGTCTCCCATGACATAACTCGGTAGACTGGAGTGACCAATCAACTCCATAAGACCTGTGCTGTGGACTGCCCAAGCGTGAAAAAAATATGGTAGCCATCCCAGTGGGATTTGTGCTCGTGGGATTAGCTGTTAACAGCTTATTCCCAGGGACTGAAAGGTAGGTCCCGAGCAGCTTGTGCCATGGAAAAATCTTGCTTTCAGCTTCAGACGGCAGGAGATGACCCACTCTCTGGGACAGAGCTCCTGACCCTACACTGTGGCCCTGGCCGGCGTCCACCGAGTCTTATCGACTTAAGGCCGACCAGGACTCAACTTGCTTCTGCAGATTGGAAAACTTGAGATAATTACGTGACTCCAGCTCATATAAGGATTTGTTAACCGAGGCCGAAAGTTCGTCTCTAAGGGAATCAAACAAATTAGTAATGGCGGCCAGATCAAATGAGCAGAAGACTTGGATTTGAGGAAGAAGACGGGCACTACTTTTGCTTGTGCTATCCGATTTATTAGATTGGGAATCTGATGAAGACTTAGCCCATTTTTGAGAGTCAGAAGACACAGAGGATTTCCTCTTTTTAACAGAATTCCTGGCGGTGTCCATTTTGATCCAGTCATCAGGGTTAAGACTTGAGCACAATAAACACCTATTGTCTATGGTACAGGGAGGATCCTTGAGACACTCTGCACACAAGGCATGAGGATCAAGGTCTGACATATATTTCTGACACTGTAAGCACTTGCTTTGCGCCATAGAAGAAACGGACACAATGAAAAAGTTATTACAATGTCACAAAAGTCACAAAGTCAATAAATGCGATTGTTGTATCAAGCAATGCAGTTGTACTGACCAATCCTTGAGTTGATCTTGATAATTCATAGATAAATTGATGACAACGAATCACAGTAGAAAATCTTTTCCAATTTTCTGAATACGTCCTGTGTGTAGCACATACAGAAAAATTGTGAGGATTAAAAGGGCGCCACTCTGAAGTCACGAATTAAGGGGAGATAACTCCATGGGGTGAGGGCATACCACCAGGGGAACTACGACTTAGGGATCGTTTTTCTTTTCCATTTTTTCTGTATGTGTCTGTGGTAACCCCAGGAATAAGGCAACAATAATCCAGAGGGCATGTTTACGCCCATAATTTGATACAATATTTTCGAATACTTTGTCTTGAACAGACCATGGATGGAAAGCATAGGCAAACAGTATGGTTAATAGAGAGTCCATCTGAGAGGCAATCATATCAGGAACTAGATAGACAGATCAGCTGGTGGTTTTTCAGACTTACAATTACACTTTTTTATGAAAGTGGCACTATCTAAACAAACTTATGAGCAATGTTTTTGAATTTAGGTGATCAATTTAGTCTCAAATTTCATAAACTTACCCATCAATGCTTGGAGCTCCTGCATGTGAAGCTGTTATAGGTAGTTTATTTCTCACAACAGAGATTTCTGACAGCTCCATTTCATCATGTTCCTCCTGAAATTATTAAATACATAATATTATGAATATGTAAAAAAAACCCTAATATTTCATTTATTACTAGCAACACGATTCATGATATTATGTATATGTAAAAAAACTAATATTTCATTTATTACTACGAACAATACCCGTTAACTACCTCAACTTGCAACAGATAAATCTTCAGATACAAAATAAACAGGTCATCAGTTAGGATACCACGGTATTACTGTCATACTGCAATATGCTTTTCAAATGATACGTATTGCAATATCTTTGGGAAAACTGGTAGATTGGGTAAAACATTACAACAAAATTTGTGATAATCTCTTTGGTTTAAATTCAAATCAACACAGACTTTCACAGACCTTTGTATAAAACTGTATACTTTACACACTATACATTGTATTAAAAAAGAAAAAAGAATTTCCAACTACCCAACCTATTCTTGAGGCTGATGTTAGTTTAAAGAAAATAGGACCTGCTTGTACAATCAGTGTCACTGTCAAACTCTTTAGCTCCCAGCGTTTTGCAATAAAGATACCTGTATCACAATGTACAATACAATTTATTGGCCCATACACAGCCCTATCATCAGAACAGTCATCTCTCCTCTCTGGTTGTCCTACAAACATATTTCTCATTTACAACCATGAGAAATATACACTTTACAAGTTACATTTATTTAACTTCTATAAAAAATTCATAAACTATAAAAGTCACTTTTGATAGATGAGTATGAACTGATATCATGAGTGGATGGTCTTCACTACATTTGTATTTATAACATAAACCGATTCATATCAGAAACTGTTTCATAGCTCAATGCATAACTTTTTCTGAACATCAGATTCTATTCAGCTTTTCATTCTATTTCATGCATTCATTTGAATATTTTTCATATCAAATTTGAAAATTCACTGAAAAGATTATGTAACAAGAAATGAAAGTAAAATGTAAAATACTTTAATTTCATTGGTCAATGACAGTTTAACAAGTTTCCGTGTCACCCTCCTAGGGTGACAACTGGAAAAAATATTACCCGCTGCCACAGTAAACGCCAAGCTCTCCGCCGAGAAGCTGAATCGTATGAGGTCATAATATGACACATGCAGTGCCCGGAGTTGAAAACCGTTCGATCAGCTGTTTTTGTGTTCACTTTGTACAGATTTTTTTTTACCTACTTTCACTGCTTTATTTAAGCTATTTTATACATTGAGTGGTTTGCACACTCAGCTTAAACATAAAAAAACGTTTTTTACGGCAGTAATATGCTTGTCAGAATATGTTTCACTGATGTTAAAAATCCAGTTGAGAGGCAGACGCCATTTTGTTTACATGTCATATAGTCGGTAGCAATCTTTAACATAAAATAAAATGATATTTTGTACATTTAACATGGCGGTAAGATAAATACGTTGTATGCTTCTCTCGAGGGTAATACGGTCTGATGTACGCCTCTTTGTAGCAGTGTCATCCCTTCGCCTTCCGGCTCGGATGACACTCCTACAAAGAGGCGTACATACAGCCTCCTACATTAAACTACTCTGTAGCACCCCGTTTCTTAGTTTGCAGTTGCTTCACTCGACTAACCTCACTCGTGGAAACTTTGCGTTTATGTTTTTTGACGCATATAATGTCTCAGTTTGACTCACAATTAAACAGCGATATGGCAACATTCGTAATGTTTACATTCCCACAATGCATATAAGTTGTAGAATTGAAAATTTTATTATAAATTGTATATTTATATACTTATCCTATCTCACGGTATGCACCTCTCCTCTTCTTCTACAACCATGTGTGGAAACGTGCTGTAGGCTAAGTTGAATCAAATCTTACTGGCCTCTGACCCGCCCTGACCTCTGCCCCCACTCCGACATCAGCACCTGTCAATCATCTCCGTAAGCGTGGAGCTCGCTCAGATGATCATGTGACTACCTGTGCCTGTCATTCTCGTCTTGGAGCTTCCAGTAATCTGTGATGTGGGGCAGGTCGGGTGGGTCCTATCGCGTGAGATAGGATAAGTATATAAATATACAATTTATAATAAAATTTTCAAATTTTTAAACTTATCCTATCTCACGGTATGCATAATCCCACGGCTAGTAGGCGGGTCGCAGATTACCCCGTTACTACCACCAGGAAAAACGCATAACCCAAGGAGGCCAGGAGAAAGCACCAGGGAGTGGGCGAGCCCGAATTAATGTGGTTTTCGGCCGCAACTTTTGACAAGCAAAAGGACGCAGTTTGGCAAGTAGGCCCCGCCGCCCAGCGATTTATCAGGTGACCCCAGTGAATTAAAGTCGAGGACCTTAATCTGGCCAGTCCCTGCTTCGAAACTACCCCCCACAGACACACGCTGGAAGGCAGTGAAAGAGGGAATAGTTCGGTTGCTCAACTAGTTTAACGTTCTGTACCAATCTCCCTAACTTCCCAAAGGTGAGAAAGGACCCAGGAGCAGAACGCCTCGAAAACCATGTAGGTAATCGGAAATCAACACTTCACTGACGTAATTGCTCAGAGAGTAGAGGTCAGTAAGCGGAGTGTCGATCATCTCTGCATGTAGCACAAGACTGGCCTCACAGTCTATCAAGTCATAACTTATGACAGTGCAGACATGCCCTATTCCCATAGGTGAGAATGATCTAAGCCCAAGAGAAAAAAGTACCAAGATATGGATTACATCGATATCTTATATTAGGTACAGAGCAAAACCGACCAAGGAAGGATTGCTTTATCTGAGAACACGGACCGATGACAATTGCTGCGCCAGGACCAAGGGGCCGAATTGATGTAGACCTTCCACGTCTGTAACCGATAGGTCCCTCAGGTAGTGTGAAGCAAACACCGTATCGGATCTCCAAAAACAGCCCTCCATGATGGACTGCAGGGAACAATTTCTGTGAAGGGCCATGGTGGAGGCAAGAGCTCGAGTCTCATGAGGCTTCGCCGTCGATGGTGGAGGTAGGTCAGCAAAGGCATAAGCACGCAGGATCGTAGTTCGCATCCAAAACGCCAAGGTAGTACGGGAGACTTCCGAGGTGGAGGCAGTAGACAATGGAATGAACAATCTCTTACGCAGTCTGCGGCGATCCTGTGAGGCAGCTAGGTAAATCTTTAATACACGCACTGGGCATAAGGACAGATCCTCAGTGTCATCTGGGCCCAAGATAGTGGACAACGGCGGAATCTTGAATGTGCGATCCAGCTATCCTGGTAACTGATTCTTGGCGAGAAAATCCCACCGCAAACCAAGGAAAACTCTCGCATGTCTAGACCTTTCAAACCGCACCCGAGAAACATCAAGAGCATGCAACTCGGAAAAACTGGCAGCTGTAGCCAAGGCCAAGAGAAAGAAGGTCTTAAAGGAGACATGTTCGGACACCTTCACACCCGAGGCCGCTGCAATAACGGTGTTAAGAGCAGCCAGTTACGTAGATAGTGTAGAACCTTTGAGTTTTCTGGAGGTTCGTAGATGCTGAAGGTACTCTGCCACCATCTGCGGGGAGGCTGTGGTGGGGGATGAGACGCCCTTCTTCCTGCAATACGCTTCAACATTCTTACATTTGTCATCGTAGAGTTACCTCGTAGAAGTACGATGCGCTGTAGTAATGGCAGTAGCCACCCGTTTAGAATAGCCCTTCGTCGTTAACGACGGATGTAGATGCGCCAAGCGTGCAGATGGAGCGTCAGCTGGGACCAATGTAGCTGGTCGGAGTGCGGATGTACCAGGAGATCGGGTTGAACGTGAAGAGGCATGGGATCTGGTTCGGCTAGGTCTTGAAGGTTTACGAACCAACTTCTGGCCGGCCAATAGGGCGCGACCAAAAGCAGAGTCATCCCCTGAGTTGCGCACAGTTTCACTAATATGCGAGGAAGAAGGGCCACTGGCGGAAACGTGGAAACGTTCAGGTCCTCCCACGGAATGGCTAGAGCATCGAGGTCCCAAGCCAGAGGGTCCGGAATCGGTGACACAAACCGAGGCAGCTGATGGTTGAATCGGTTGGCGAAGAGATCTACTGTCGGAGTCGTCAATGGAAGACAAAAGGTCTGGAACACCTGAGGATGTAATTTCCATTCCGTTGGAGAGGGCCGACTCGGTCGGGACAGAGAATCTGCGATGACATTCTTCACCCCCGGAATGTGGTTGGCTTGTACCAAGATGTGGAGAGAGTCCACCAGATCGAAGAACCGTTGGGTCCACTGCAGCAGTTGAGTAGACCCCGTGGACCCCATCCTGTTGATATGCCAAACCACCGCTGCGTTGTCCGACCGGATCATGAGGGAAGTTGCTCGTAGGACATCCTGCCAGTGACTGATTGCAAGCATCACCGCCCTGAACTCCAGAACGTTGATGTGACAGGCGCAATCGATGGGAGACCACCGCCCTGCCACTTGTTGATTGAGAAGATGGCTCCCCACCCGTGTAGAGACGCGTCCACATACAGGTGGTAAGACAGAACAAACGGCCCTAAAAAAACTCCGTCGCAAACATTCAATTCTTCCATCCACCACAGGAGATGGGGATGGAGCTGCAGAGGTAGAGTGATCAAGGCAATGGGATCTCCCACTCTGATGTAAGGCGCTAGAAAGAACTGCAAGGGACGAAGTTGTAGTTGATCCCTGAGGGTCACCGCCTGAGCCGACGTCAAGAGGCCCAGGAGCTCCTTCCACTGACGAAGCGTCCTGGGGTGAGCCAGTGCCAGAGAGACTAATCGCTGTATCTTGCAGAAACGATCCCTCGGGACAAAGAGTTTGTTGACCTCTGTGTTGAACACTCCTCCAATAAATTGAAGACGGCGCGTAGGGACTAGTTCCCATTCCTGCAGATTGATTAACCAGCCTAATTGGCAAAACTGTATCGCAAACTGCATGTGACGAAGCAGAAGGGCATGATCGGTCTGCGCCTGAATGCAGTCGTCGATGTAAACCTCGAACACTATTCCCTTGCAGTGAAGGAAACTAGTGATAGGCTTCGTTACCCGTGTAAACAGCCACGGGGCCGAAGAAAT